TTTTATATGAAAGCTATAACCTAATAACAACCTAAGGATATGGGGACAGGGGAGGGAGAGGGGAGGGGGAATGGGTGGACGGAGGAGGATTCGAGGGATCACTTCTGTGGTTTATCTTACAAGTGTACAAGTGAATCTTTCTATGAGTAGAATATGAACGTTTTAACACAATAACTAAGAAAATTACATGAAGGCTATGTTAACCAGTTTGATGGAAGTGTTTCAGATTGTGTGTAAAAACACCACACATACCCCAGAAGTGCATTAATGTATACAGTTACCATTCAATAAAAATAAATAAATAAATAAATAATATATAAGTCAACTAGTTCATAAGACTAAATGCATCTTTATGCAAAAGTCTTCAAGGCTTTGACCCACAATCACATGCTGGTACAGTGAAAAGAACTGCCTTTGCAGTCAGATAGACCTGAGTTTAAATCCTGCACCTGCTGCTTTCTGCGTGACTTTACCAAGGCGCTCTCCTTCCCCCAGCCTGTTTCCTCAGCAATACAGTGGAGACCGCAAATATGACTTCGCATGATATAATATCTGCAGAGCATTAGACACTAGGACTGTCAAGTAACCAACCTCCGTTTATAAAAGCAATTGCTACTGTTTAGGCTCTGCGGTTTCACATACTTACCTCAAGCAAACTGCTGTGCTGTGAGACTAGGAGTATTCTTCTGTCAAATGGAATCATAGTTCCTTCTCTTAGAGTGAAACATGACATAACCAAAGCATCTCATAGTACTTAACAAATGCTGGTTTCTTTCTTTCTGAAAGTACCCATTGCAAATAATTATAGCATTAGTTATAGAGCTAAAATTGTGTTTATCCCATGAACACACTTTTTCTCTCCCTCCCCCTCTCTCATTCTGTCCCTCTTTCTTTCAAACACACACACCATCCCCACTTTGTTTCCCATCACTGTCATCAAAAGTTAAGAAAATACAAGGACCTTTGGAAGGTTAAATAAAGAAGAGCAAGTTTATTATCAGATCATCGTACTATTTCTATTCCTCAGACCATGAGTTTGGGTCCCTATTTGAGCAGCTGTGGATTTACTTGTCTCCCACCCCACTGGCCCCAGCTCAGCCACTCTTCCCTCTGGCCATGACCCCTGTTCTCTTCTCCCATGCTTCCCTCCACCTCTCCACTTCCACTGGCAGACTCTTTTTCTAAAATTTGGAGACCATCTCAGAGAGGTCCTCCCAAGCCTCCTCCCCCTAGCAAAAAATGACCATTGCTGTATTTGTGCTTCTGCAGCACAACTTTCTGACGGGAGAAATTGGGAAAGGGAGTTACTATGTATGAGCCCCTGCATGCAATGTTGACGCTTTTAACCTACCTTTTAGCCTCCTCAAGCAATTATCACCCTCTCCACTTTACAGATGGAGAGATTGAGGGCCTCTTCATTCCTCAGTTAAAGAAACAGTCATTGAGCATCACTTGCCGGCACTGGGATACAGCAGCCAACAGTGGACATGGCTCCTTCCCTCTTGGATCCTATGTGATGAATCCAGGAGGCAGGAATGAAACCAGTAATAGACTGTTCCAGTTGAGAAGCAGGGTGCTATGAAAGGGTGGGAGAGAGGGCTGTGCCCTGGCTCAGAGATTAGAGAACATATCCCTTTAAAAAGGGACATTTCAACTACTACCTAAAGGCTCAGGGAGGTCTCGTGGGTTGGTAGCGAGAAATAGGAGTGGAATTGAAATGTAGATGAGTCAATTTTACCAACCCTTATGTGAATAATTGTTTGTGCCGAATTTTAGCTTATGATCCACAGCTTTCTCCCCAGTAGATTGTGGCTCCTTGAGAAGAGCAGCCTCATCTCCCAGCATCTGGTACACAGTATAAGTAATAAGCAGCGATAAATGGGTGTTTAATTTCTCAACCTGTGTATTTGTATGTAATAGCCTGTATTTAATATTATAGGGATGCAAAAGTGCCTTGATTCTGCCTTGTGTACTGTTAACTCTTTAACCCCTGCATTTATATGGTTTTTTGAATAGAAAGCTTCTGTAAGCACCTGGCAACTCCGTGCTGGAGCTTCTTTCACTCTGTGGTTTCCTATTATACAAGAGGGGGTGATTCAGGGCAGGGTGCAATCAGCTCTGTAGCAGGTGGAACTTGAAAGCAGCTCATTCATCTAATTAAAATGACCTTAAACTTGTCCTTCCCAAATGCTAAATGGCACGGGGCTCATTACCAGCCTGCTACTCAGACCAGTGTTGGTGATGAAATAGGAGCACTCCCCTGTACCTGGCACTACACAAGGTGGGGGATATGAAGATGAAAGCACATGTGGGGATTTAATGAGCGTTCCTTTTTCCTGACACTTACTAGCTCTCAGTCTTGTAGGGCCAACAGACATACCCAGAACCACACACACCGGGATGCACAAACCCATACAACACAGGTAGGAGTCACGTGTGCATGGGTAGAAGGAATGGCTACTCCGCAGTGGGGGGAGGATTGTGGAAAGTCATCTTGCCTGAGTTGGGAGAATGAATGGCTGTTAGCCAAGGGAAGGTGGATACAGTCAGGCCATGGGGGAGGACTCAGCCAGTGCAGGGTCCCAACGGAACAGAAATGATGGCACATTTGGGATTTGTCAATACCCATGAGAGCCAGGCAGGTGATACATGTCAGGTACTTTGGCATATTCTTCATCTCCATTAAGAAATGTCCTCCCTCCTGCTTTTCTTGACTTATATCCACTTCAGTTACCCTTCATTTTCCCATCTTTGATTGAAACTTGTCTAAAAAGAAGTTGTTCTCTGAGAAAAACAGAAGTCCAACCCCAGTTCTTGTATTAGTTGGTAACTGATACTTGGTTCTGTTGGGTAGACAACTGTGGTGGGGCCTGGGGCAAACTGGACAGTATATTCTCCTGCTGAAGAAGACAGCCATTCTTCAACTCCAACTGCTCAGTGGCTCCAGATCTTACAGTTTTTCAGAAAAAGAAAGCAACCTGGATTTTTGGCAAGATAGTCAAATTTTTAAACAATTCCTTAATGTTAAAAAACAAAAACCTGCTGACCAAATGGAACACAGTATACTAAGTTTTATTCACAGGACTTGCTTATAAAATGTTTTGTTTGAAAGGATAGTCTCTCCTAACCATCCTTGTCCCCTTGCTTTCTAGAAAGAGATGACCAGCAGGATGTGTCACTGATGCTCTGTCCCACCCTTTGGAAGAAAGAAAAGCTGTTTCCTCCGGGAGCCCTGTGTGGGCAGGACGTAGACCTCCCTGGCTGAAATGGCGCACCCACTTCCAGGCGCAGCAGGGGCGGGGGCAAGCTGTCACTCCTGAGGGACGCTCCCCAATCACTTTGTGTGCTCTTAACCCTCTGAGTGCTGTTCACCCAGACCTGTGGACCAGGCAGACCACACCGTGAAAGAAGGACCAGCCCCTTGATGCTTCTGGCTCAGGAATCGTCAGGAGGAGCTTCTGCACTTCCTTGCACGTCACAGTTGTGCCTGTGAACTGCTGCCTAAGCTTTACTGGAATTCAGGTGTTGAGACTGGGATGCTTCTTTGTACTTTTCCACTGATCTCTCTTGTCAGCTGGCCAACTTCTCTGTAATTGGTTCTCTAAGTACCAAGTGAATTTTGGAACTCTGAATGCCCAGCAGGTTTTTCTGTAACAAGCCTTCCCTTCAGGTCTCTGAAAGCTCCTCTTATCCCGTGGTCTAATGCTGCCATGCAGGGCTGTAGAGCTCTGAGAGACCCGAAGTCCCCCCACACCACCCAGGACCCTCTGGCGCCATCCACACAATTTCCCTAAAAAGCAGTTTTATCAGGGACTCCCCCATGAGGTGGCTTGTCTCTGCCCCAAACAGGGTCTTCGTGTTCTAACTACAGGGAAGAGACTGGTCACTAGCATAAAGCTAACAAGTTAGCAGTCCGTCTGATCACCGGCATTCCTTGTCTCTTCAGTTGAAGATATTCTTTCCTGTTTCCCAGAAGAGAGAAATTAAAGGAAGTTATAAACGACTAAGAATTATCAGCAGGGATCCTGAGCCAGACTAGCGCAGGGTTAGTTCTTTATGAAAGGGTGGGGAGCCGTGGAGGTCTGTGTGTGGTACTGACACGTCAGTGGAGAAATGAAACTCCATTTGGTTATTTGGTGTGTGTGGATTAACACCCAGCCCATTCATTGACTTGTCACCTTCCCAACTGGCCCCTCTGAGCATTCAAACAGCAGATGTTGTCTTCCTCCTCCACACTCCGCCTTCCTCTGTCTTGTTATATTATGGCACAAAATTAATTTCTGCCCCTGTGATTGTGCCACGGTTGCCACGGTAACAGTGGAACTGGAGCTAACTACTTCCTTCTTCCATCCTTTCCAATTTATTCCAGAAGACAGTCAGGGGAAAGCTTTCTGTACCACATCCTGCCTTTTGAAACCTCAATGAGTTTTAGCTGATGAAATGTTGCCTTCTCTGATTCATTCACAAAACTGTGGTGGTTCTTACAGCCTGTGACCAGGAGGTCATAACACTTCCAGTGATCATTTGAATTTAGCAAAATCTCAGCTGGTGGAGGGAAGTAGGTAAGAATGTATTTAGTGCATCTTAATGTAATAACGATTAAAGGATAACTGAACAACTCTGATTTTGTTTTATTGTACATGACATGTTAAAGCCTTTTGTGGCTGTCACAAAAGCCTAGAATCATGAAATCTTTGTCTTAACTAAGAAAAGACTGACTGTGTGGGGACGGTGGCATCCTATGTTGACCAAGCAGATGATCTTGGCTTCATATCTCGTAAAAATTATCTCATGGATTCCAAATACTGCTACCTCTCCGTGTTGTTGTGCTCTGGTCAACAATAAACATACTTCTTCTCCTTTTTTTTTTTTTTTTTTTTGCTTCCTTAAGAGTAATCTTGAGAGAATAAGATAGGCACAGGTTTTTCTCAGCATCATTTTTGACTCAAAGCCTATCGGACTATCCTAAGGATCTGGAGAACAAAGAAACAAAAGCACCTAATTCCCAATTGTGTGATAAGCAGCTACCACATGAGAGTGTGGAACAGTGGGACAGAGAGATCACAGCATGGAGCCCCAAAGAATTCTGTAGCTCTGCACCGTGGAACACCACCGGATTTTTGCATCAAGAAGTTGAACATGATCCTGCATTTCAATAATACAAAAACAGGAGGCTGGAATCCACAGAGCTTTGTTTTTAATTCTTTTAAGGTTATTTTCTATTAACTATTTGTGCATATTAAATTTCCACTCAATTTAAAACTCCAAATGTTTTTTAAACGTCTTGGAATAATTTCCTCCTGGTTATACTGCTAATTGCACTAATCAACTCTTCTGGGGTAAATTCTGGTAAAATGTTCTTATTTTTTAATTACAAAGTGTCCCTATTCCCACAGAACTTTGTTTGGCAAATTCTGAAGAAAATGTTTATACACAATTTTATATCACGTTGACCTATGTCTTGCCTGCATTTCTATTACAAATGGAGCTTCAGACCTCTGGGTCAGAGGCTGACAACCCTAGCCTAGGCCTCTCTTCTTTCCCATTTTTTTAGGAAGGGGATTTCAAAATGGAAATTTCAAAATTGAAAAACTACAATAAATAAGCCTTATATCCTTAAGTGCATCAATTATTAACATTTCACTGCATTTTCTCTTCTTTTTATAGACGAGTCTTGCTATGTTGCCCAGGCTGGCCTCTAATTCATGGGCTCAAGCAGTCCTCTTGCCTCAGCCTCCAGAGTAGCCAGGGCTATAGGTGTATGCCACTGCACCTGGCTCATTCTTCGTCACAGTAAATACACATTCATTTTGCTGAACCATTTGAAAATAAGTTTCAGACATCATGAAAATACAAAATATTTCATCATGTCCCTCCTATTAATAAGGACATTGTTCTACAAATCTGCAACATTTATCATATTCACAAAACTGACCACTGAAACTATCTAACATATGATTCATATTCCACACTTTCAGTTACTCCAAAGATATTCTTTATAGCAAATTGTTTTAAAAACTCCAAGATCCAATCAAAAACCACACATTGCATTCAGTTGGCATTCTCCTTTGTTTTCTTTAATAGATGAGTTCTCCTTTTGTGTGTGTATGTAAGGTGCGGTGAGGTTGTGTGGGTGAAGGTGTGTGCATGGTGTATCTTTAATGGCACTGACATGCTTAAAAAGTTGGAGCCCAGTCTGCAGAATATGTCACGATCTAAATTTTTTTTCTAATTGTTTCTTAATTATTAGATTCAGGTTAAACCTTTTTTTTTTTTTTTAGCAAGAATACTATACATGTGAGCTTTCCTTCCTAATACCTCCCACCAGGAAACATGCAATGTCTAGTCTCTTTATTGACATTAAGAGTGGTCAATGGGTTCAAGTGCTATCTGATCCAATCATTATCAAGTGTCTTAATTAGTTAGCTCTGAAATTCAATATGCATACATTTTATAGAGTGTGAAACTGTGCAGATATATTTTAATTTCTTAATATCCTCAGATCAAAGATACCCAAAAGATAATAACTGCTACAGTTAGATATTAGAGCATTAACAAAGAATTTATGCCTCTTTTTAACAGAAGGCAGGGAAGCAGGACCGTTCCCTGTGTGAGTGTCCACGAGTATCCCAGCTAATGAGAAGGTGCACATCCTGGTGGCAGAGTGGAAATATACATAACTTTTTCTTCTCCCCTCCTCAGTAACCTGCCATTCAAATCCTTGATTTATCTACAGAGAGCCTGCAGTCTTGTTGAGGATGATTGCCAATTGTTTTGTGTGTAAGGGGGGGTGGAGAGGGCGGGGATCTTAGATACTGCACTAAGTTATGGCCCTCCAAGGGGCCACAGTACATGAACAAATATAGAGTATTTATGTGGTATTAACATTTCATGGAGATACAGCAGAGGGTATGGGGAAATGATTAGGAATAAAATGTCTTTAAAAGACTCCATAGGGGAAATGTTACAGAAAAAAAATAGATTGAGAGATAACATCTTCTAGAGTCATTTTCTGTTTCTTAGGTTGGTAATTTTCTCTCCCCCGGTTATTTTCTGATTTCTAAGGGCCCAAAGTCTCAGAGCCAGAATAAGTGGAAGAAACTTTGAGAGACTACTTTATGCGTTCCTTCTACCCCCAACCATGCCAGTAACATTCAAGGTGCGTTTTTCTCCCACAGACCTTCAGGCATAGAAATTCTGCAGCATCTTTCGGTATAATCCCTAAACGCCTTTCAGCATCTGAATTCTTCCATCCAACTCGAATCAAAGTATTATCTTTGAGTCTCAGTACGTCTTGTCTAGCATCCCACTTTTAGGAGTGTCCAAAGACTACATAGGATAGATAAAAAGATAATAAATGAGAGCGTTCTTGGCATACCCGTTGCATATTTGAAGAATGTCCCTTGTCAGTCATCCTTCAGCCTTCTTTCCCTTAGCCTTCTCCCAGGGCGGAGGGCAGCAGGCCGCATTCTCTGGGACGTCTGGTTGCTCTATTGTTGAGCATTTCTGCAGTTCAACTTGAAATCTTCCCAGAGGTCTCCACATCACTTTGTGTAAGGGGTATGACCCACAGTGAACATCACAAGAAATTATTACATGCGCTCTCCAAACTATATCCTGTCTTTGGTAAACCCTGACTTGCTTCTGATCCATCTGTAGGTGTTCTTTTGTAGTTGCCCGTACAAAAGTCTTAGTTGTATTATATCCAAGCATTTGGGTTTACATTCCTGACTTTTCTTTCTTCTTACCTTTGACATCCCTCCTTAGATCACACTGTTTTGTTTTTTGTTTTTAAGCTCATCTCTTTCATTAGCAAAACTAGAGTTTCCCTGTTTAATAGAGGAAGAGGATGCCTCCTCTTTCATGCTATTTATGCCAATCTGCCATTCCGGCAATTGATGGAAACACATGATTTTCCGTGATCCCTAACCTTATGTATCTTCCACACTCCATGGGCATCACACTGTGAGAAATAGGATACTATAGGAAAAGTATGGCCATGACTTAAAAGGCGCAGTCACAAAAGGGAGCTACAGGCCTCACTCGGATGATACTGTTGTCATTCTTGTTCTAATCATTTTGGTCCTTGAAGAAATTGGTGATTCTTTCCTAGAATTAGCCAAACAAAGTGTGGAAGTGATGATTGTTTTTCTGCTTTAAAAGATACATCAACAGAAAATTTTTATAACAGACTATTTCCCTCTCGGCAAGTTATTAACTCTGGGTAAGAACTTTCAATGACTGTAGGGATTTGAGTGACTTACAGAAAGAAGAGTTCATTTCTAATCAAACAATTAAGCTGTTTTTATTATCATCTGGTGTTCTGATTGCAAAGTTTTCCTTTGTTACATACATCTGTAAAAGAAATGTTTACTATATTTTTAATTCAATTTGGGATTGAATTAAGGGTTTGACTCTAAGAAAAACAGACTAACATCATTAAGTCAAAGTTTTCCTTTATTACATACATCTGTAAAAGAAACGTTTACTATATTTTTAGTTCAATTTGGGATTGAATTAAGGGTTTGACTCTAAGAAATCACTAACATGATTAAATCAATTAGAAAAGTAAAGTAAAACTAAAAGATATTTATGAAATCAGTTCTATATGAGCTTAGGAATCCGAATGTCACAAATAAAAGAATATAACCATTATCTAGTCTGTCTTTTTGTAATGCTTAATTTATTTCTTTGACAAACAGATTTTTCATCTTGCAATGGTCCTATAACAGGTAAATAAAAGGAAAACTATTAATTCTACAAAATCTAATTCAAGATTCATTTGAAAACACACAAGGACATATTTGTATTTTAGCAGAAAATCCTTTACCCGGTTACAGAATTTCTCAGGAAGCCAGCAGGAAGCATATAGCTTAGCTTCTCAACAGATTAATGTGGTATTTATAATGACTTTAGGAGATTAAATAAAATAAGGTACATCTGAAAAAATAGGGGTGCATATAAATTCTATATACCACTATATTAAGAGTATATTTGCAGGTACTATAATAATTACAGATGATTGTAATAGCAGCCACTGTAGTAATAGGTTATTATATTTGATAAAAGCTATTTTATCAGATAAAATGAGATGATGAGGTGATTTCTAGACACAAGACACTGGGGAATGAGGCTTCTGGAAATCACAAATCTAAGTGGCCTCTCAGTTCTGCTGTCTGCAATGTATACCCAAGCGTGACACAGAAGCAGGCCCTGGACTGCATCCGGCCTCCAGCCGTGTTTTGCTGGGCTTACACAGTGTTGTTTCAGACTTGTTTTTTAAAAAAACTAACTGCCATTTAAAAATTGAGAAGTTTGACACATGAGAATCAGGGATTGGGGCTTTTCTTACAAAATCAGATTTGGCAATATCAGGCTTTTGTTTTCACCTGGCAGAAATTGGCTGAGAAGGGGCTGTCGCCTTGAAATGGGACATGTTCTGCTCAATTTACCTCTGCCCACCCCTCGCTGTTGCCTCCTAGACATGTGGCTGTCAGTTACCATTTGTCTAACACTGGGATTAGATAAATGCTCATTCGCATTTCTTGCCGCCCCTCTGAAGGCACTTTAGACATTTCTCAATGCCTAGAAAAGACATTGAGAAAACCACGATATTAATTTTCA